TAGATCTCTTGGCTTTCAGAGCTGGTAAGAGGAACTGCCTTGCAGGAACTGACACCACCCTAGCCTTCAACCTATCCAGGAGCGCAGGGCAAACAGAGCCACCTGGACCCTACCTCACCATCCAAAGCCTCCTGCTGAGCCAAAGGGGTGGGAGGAGCTGCTGCCATGGCCCTGTGCCCTGCATAGCTTATGGGACGATTTTACCTACTGCCACACAACCTAGCCTCTCTGCCCAGTCCCCAGCTACACAAAGACCAGAAAATTCTGACTATATATGAGCCAGAGCATCTGAACCCAGTGAGGTCCTGTAGGAATTCTCTCCCCATGCTCACCTGAGCAAAAACAGCACAGAAATTTTTCTGTGCAAATCTGACAAAAGCGAATTCATCACTGAATGTCTAAAAATCACAGCAGAGCAACTATGGTGATACCTTCCTTGCCACAGAAGGTTTTCTAAAGGACTAATCTTTTCCCATTTTTTCATAGAATTGCTAAGCCAAATAAAGATGGCATGATGGGTTTTTTTATGCCCAAGCATATCCCTTGCAATCACCAACTTTACCAATATGGTTCTGTTCATCAGTGTATTACGAAGGATAAGCGTGGATTAGGGTAATAAAATCCTTACCTTATATTATGTGTAATTATGTATTTTAATAATTTGCATAGCTGTGCATTATTAGGTATGCTGATTTAGTTTTATATATATAAATCATTCTTAGGCAAAATGAAAAGAACATTTTCTTTTCTGTTACTATCTTGTCATTTCCAAGTCTTTCAATCTAATACCTAGTCTCTGGTCAGTATCAGATTTGAGATATCATAAAATTTCATGCTTAAACTATTTTGTGTGGTATATATGACATTTCAATCATGTCAGCTTGCTGTCATAACTGAATTTTATCTGAGGAGTTGCACTGTCATGTATAATTGATTGACAAGCCCTCTAGAAAATGTCAGAGTAAGTGATAGAACCAACACAATCTCTTCCTTAAACTCCACTAATATATTCATGAGAAAGAAAGATGAATTAGCATAAATCTAGCCTATCACATGTGGGACTATTCTCCAACCCGGTGCTGAATTCTCAGGCCCTGGAAATAACTAAGAGAGGACGAGAGAGATGATCTCAGACAACAATGCAAGTTTTAGGGATTAAACCATGTTGACAGCAACCATAAAGTAGTCTAAGATCTGGCAGCTCTTTATGAAGCTCCAGTCCTTCCTCAATCTTCCACTCAGGCATTTGGCAAAACTTCCACATGCCTGTGAGACAAGATTTAATAAGCCTTTCCTCACCCCATCTGGCTCTTAAGCCAAACCCTTAGGTAGGTCTGTTTTCTTCTGCTGATACAAGGAAAATAGAACAGTCATTGGGAAGCACAGCAAGAGCAATGATGATGGTGCCTAACATTTTAGAAATAAGTAGATAATTACACTTTTAAGGAACTTATTGGGGCCAGCAGGTGGTATGGTGGTTAAGGTGTTGGACTTCCACATAGCTAAATGAATTTGTAATACATTGAGTTACAAGTCAAGTCCCAGACCTGGCATCTTGTTCTCTCAC